TTCATAAAATTTGATTTTGTTGATATGGTAATGATTATCCCCATCCAATAACATGATGATTGCCAAAATTTTAAGATAATTACTTAATTTTGTGAAAAACTAATTATTTGTAAAATTTGAATCATTTTGCTACAAGAGTTGAGTTAGATCAATTTAGTAAAAGATAAAATGATATGATTGTTTTATTAGTTTAAAGTTTGATCTAAAAGTTTTTTTAAGGAGTTACAAATTTTGTCATGAAATTTGGAACTCAAAAGTTTTTTTTAAGGAGTTTCAAATAAATATTAGTTAAATTGATCTTAATGTTTTGAAGAGTTCCATAAGTTATAGAACTTGAAAAGTCTCATCTTCATAAAACAAATTAACTCCTTAAGTTATGGAGTTCAAAAGTTTTTCAAGAATTGCAAAACTTGTCCTCAAGTTTTAAAAGTTGAAAAGTCTCAATTAAGAAACATTGAATCCCTCCTGACCACTAAGCCTAAAAGATGGCCCAAACCGAAGCCCAACATGCAAAATCCCTTCTAACTGAGTAAGCAGGGCGTACTCAACTATATGCTAAGCGTACTCGCAGTTTAGCTTGTACGCTGCACGTATAGACTTTTACGCCTAACGTACTCCTCCATTAAACCAAATCCACCATAAAGCTCTTAATGTAAAAGTCCAGAAGTCCAAATCACGGATCTGAGTCCAAACAAATGTCTAGAACCATAAAGTCACTGGCTTGGTGACTTAGCATGCCCCAAAAGAACTCAACTTCAAGATATAACACTCTACTTTCATAAAATAGACATAAACTCATGCATGGATGGATCTAAGCCTTAAAGGAGACACTTTTACGAATCAAGAACCTCAGAAACATTAAGAGTTGCAACTCATAGCTCCTGGAGTGGCATCAAGCCAATAGATCTCATTCTTAGGGCCAAAAGGGGACCAAAACTCGCATAAGATAGATCTAAGACATCAATGATCAAGTTCATAGCTTTTTACATCAAACAAACTGGAAATGAAGCACATCATCAAGATCCATAAGCTCTTCTTTGATCCACAACCTTGCACCAAACTCCATCTTCTTCAATATGAGCCAAAATACACCAAGATGCACACAAGGAGCTCAAAAACACAACCATGGAGGCTAAGGGACGGGTTCTAGGCTTTTGGGGACTTGGAGGTTGGTGAAGAGGCCATCCCTAAGGACTTAGTGTGCTTATATAGGGTACAACATAAAAATTTAGGGTTTTCATCCACTCCACGTACGCCTCACGTACTCCATGTACGCCCAACATATGAGGTCTCACATCCATGATCAGCCCTACGTATTACGCTAAGCATATGCTAGTGTACGCCTCGAGTATAGACCATCGCATCAGTACGCCCTGCGTACCACCGAACTACGCCCCACGTACTAGGGTTTCCCTTCAGTACTAATATACTCTGAAGGCCGTAACTTACTCGATGTAAATCTGATTTCGACGATCCATATATCCATGAAAAGCTAACAAGAAGCTCTATGATTTAAAAAACTCATACCTGCCTTATAATATCCCAAATAAAATCCAATTTCCATAAAAGCCCGACCTGACAAATTTCCAAAATATCTTTCGCTCTAAAGCACCAAAACGGAAACCCAGGTCATCCAAATTACATTATCCACTCCCAAATGATTCCAAATCTCAATACTTCAAGGGTCCTAAGTTTGATAATACCCAATCCTTGATCACCACCCTGAAATGTAAACGATTCAAAACAGGGTTTTACATAAGTGTTCTGTTAGCTTTGAATTCAGATTGCATGTTTTTATTGTCAGTTACATTTTATCACTTGCTTCTCGATTATCAGAACCTGAATTCCATTTTATCACTTGCTTCACGGTTATTAGAACCTGCATTGACTTTCTTTACCATGGATACCATTCAATACGCTATTCATACAGTTGGTTTCTTGAACATGTACATTGCCTTCCTATAACTTTGTCAAATGTGTATTCTTTTAAGTATCATATTATACTTTTAAACTGTTATGCTATTATATTTTGTAAGGATGAATCTCCTTGCAAGTGTGGACATATGGAGTCTTGGTACTCTTTGCTATGAATTCCTTTATGTTGTCCTTCCATTTGATGCCTCATCTTACTACACCTGATGGTATTTTCCCTAAAACAGGAATGACAACATTTTGTCCTTAATTCCCATTTTGCCGCTGCTCCTCTACCAATGATGCAAGAACGGTTCCATAGTGTTAACAATCAAGTTTTTCAATATGTGAGTTGTTGCATCTTTAGCCTTACTTATAGTTCTGACTTCTGACTTCACTTATATACCTCTATGTGGTGTTTATAGAGAATTAACCGTTGTGGTTGAGC